CGCGAGATGATTACAAAATAAAAATGGAAAATAAAAAATAATATAAAAATAATTTTAAAAAATTGATTTTTTTAAAACAATTTTTTATTATTATTAATAATAACGTTTGCATAGACATTTTTTTCTTTGACAATCCACTTTTCTCAAACTCTCAAACTTCTTTTTTTTTTCCTGAAATTANCCCGAGTGGGGGTCGCGAGATGATTACAAAATAAAAATGGAAAATAAAAAATAATTAAAAAATAATTAAAAAAAATTGATTAATTTTTTTATTTTTTATTTTTTTATTATTATTAATAATAACGTTTGCATAGACATTTTTTTTCTTTGACAATCCACTTTTCTCAAACTTCTTTTTTTTCTGAAATTAATTCACTGTTATTTTGGGGGTCGCGGGCTGAAAAGTTTGGGAACCCCTGCCTTAAAGGATGCTAGTAAAATCATTTATTACATTTTTAAATAGTACATCCAATAATCGTGATAAGCAGCTAATGTTTAAATACATATTTTTGAGACAGATCAAATGCAACAGGACTTTAAGTAAGATTGACACCAAAAAGAGGACACGCATGTAGTCCCTTAAACATTTAAACCCAACACACACACACGCACACACACACACACACACACACACACACACACACACACACACACACACACACACACACACACACACACACACACACAGTTAGAGTCAGGGGTCTTTGTCTTCCAGCTCCGCTCTTTAACAGATGCAGCCCCTTTGACCTAGATGAACCTCACCCCAGCAATTAACACGAGGCATCATGGGAAACATCTGCAAAGCCTACGGTGCACATCTGGCCCCGCTAAGCCCCGATCCAAGTGCCTCCCCTAACCCGCTGCCTGTCACCCGGATGCTTCGGCCCAGCATCAGAACATACACACACACACACACACACACACACACACACACACACACACACACACACACACTCATCCAGCTGCCCGGGCTTCCTCCCCCTGGTCCCCCCTCATTAACAGGAAGATGACAGGCGGGACACAGGGCCGTTCCTCAAGGTCCCCCCCCCCCTCACATCTGGCCCCGCAGACACACACACTCGCTGGAGGAGATGGAGGATGTGGGGGGCAGGGTTATGTCTCCCTCGGGTGCTGTACCCTATGTGACCAGGATGTATAAAAACTTCAAGCGTGCTTTTATCCGCACCTTGATTCTCACTTTGATGCTGTCAGGCTCAATGTAATGTAAAGATAAATGTTCAAATGCTTTTTTTTTCTTGTGATCACATTTTTATTGAGATGAATACACAACATATACAACCAAAAGCACAACATATATTTTTTAAATAAAATAACTAAAAGTACATAAGAAAAAGAAAAATTCGACAACAGCAATTACTTATATAATAATAATAATACAGACGAAAAATGTTCAAATACTTAAAGGTGGGGTAGGTAATTCACTTCAGAAACACGTGTTATTATATTCCATGGAATGCTCTTAACATCCCGATAGCAATAAATATATTTAATGCTTTGACAATAATAAATACATAAAAAATGTCATCAGTGGAAGCCGTGGCGCTGTAAAAAGCACGACCAATCATCTGAGCCGGCCCGGCTAAAGTAACTGGATGGCCTACCTGCCTGTCAGCCTTCCATCTGTGCACAAACTTATCTCGTGCCCTCATTGGTCATGTGCGCGTTCGTGTGTGTTGGAGGAGGGGCTCTGTAAGGAAGTCTGAAGGAAGGGGCAGATATTTTCCGGTTGTGTATTTTCAAATTCTAGCGCACTCGAGCTGGTTTCTCCATTCTTACCTACCCTACCTTTAAGTTCAAAACATATTCACAATAATTAAATACAATTTCTAGCTGTTGCAAACCATTATTTATATGAGTTTCCTTTGAAGAATAAGATCCTCACTAGGGAAGCAGTCATCCTCCACTAACCTCACGTGGAGATAGCACTGTAGGAATATTAGTTAAATATAAGCATAATTATTAATTTTGTAATAAAATGTGTCCTAAATGACAATAAAGAAACATTCTGGTATATTTAGTTGTATGCATTTGCTAACCAACAATCAAGATTACATTTAATGTTAGGCAGGTATTATGTTTACAGTTTCTCATCTTAGTTTAGCTTGTTAGCATGCTCACATCTGAATTGACCGTGTGATGTTGTCTAGGCTTGACTTTCTGTGTCATTGAGCCCTCATTAATCACTGGTTGTGTCCTTTACAGTCATGTATGCACTTAATGAGTGATGTATTGATGCTTAACGTAGTCTGTGTTTGTTTGTGTTTCCAGGATAAAGAGCCTCGTGGGATAATTCCTCTGGAGAACCTCAGTATCAGAGAGGTGGACGAGCCCAGGAAACCCGTGAGTAGAAACTCCAGACACTCTTTCTTTATCTCCTTTAAAGCAGAAAGAAATCATGTGTATGTCCATGTGGTATAATTGTTATTGCCAGCAACAACCCAGGACATATTGCATTTGTTTTGAAAAAAACAGCGCACAAAAAACGTTGCTAAAGTATTTTTTCTATCTTTTCCTTTTCATGCAAATAAGAATCTTTGATCGTTCATTTAATGTTAGCGACATGGCTACAGCTAGCAGGCTGTACAAAGCAGGAAACAACTGCAAGAATATCAAAGTAGCAGAAACCCTAATCTCAGAGCTATTAAAAAGGCAGATTAAAACACCTCTTGTATTAATAACTAGGTAGATATTGTTACTTACCGATGAAGTAGAAATACGTTTTTTTTTTTATCACTTTCCCTCTTCCCCTTCTCCTTCCATGAAGCTCATTTGCTCGATAAAGTTTCTACAGTTAACATTACTTTAGTTGTTTTGCTACCTAAAAAAGCTGCTCTGAGCTCATTTGTTAAATTGTAAGATATTTAAATGCGACTCAGTAACAGAGCGTATTGCAAAGTAAAAGCGAGGTTTATATGTAACTAGTTAACGCAGGGGGTGTCATTGTTCTGCAGCCGCTACATAGAGCAGTCAACATATCTTCATAATGATAAGCAACAATAATCTACTGTCTCTTTAACATAACACAGAGACATGTTTTCTTGTTTTTCACCGTGCATATCTTTTCGTTGCCTCCCCAGAACTGCTTCGAGCTGTACAAGCCGAACCACAAAGGTCAGGTGATCAAGGCCTGCAAGACGGAGGCGGACGGGCGAGTCGTCGAGGGCAACCACGTGGTGTACAGGATATCTGCCCCAACGCCGGAGGAGAAGGAGGAGTGGATCAAATCCATCAAGTAAGAGACGTCGTGTTAGTGGGGGTCCATTTACACTGAGAGGGCACTTAGCCAACACTGAGGCTCCCAGGTGGCACGTTCTCACGTCTGACCTTGACTATGAGACACACACGCACGCACGCACGCACACACACTCAGAGCTGTGAGCTTTATCATATATGTGCAGCTAGTACACACACACTTAGACGCTGGTGACTAAATGCGACTCTGTTTCTCACACTTCCACACAGATAACACTCAGGGGTGATTTCTGCTCTGCTGGATAAGCTCACTTCCCTTTGTTTAGACACACACACACACACACACACACACACACACACACACACACACACACACACACACACACACACACACACACAGAAGTGTTTCACACCAGATTTGTCATATCCAAATTCAGCCTTGTAAGCAGGGAAGGAGTGGAGGTGAAGCTGTAAATTGGATAATTGATCAGCTCGCTGCTTATAATCCACTCAGCTGCAGCTTCACCGGCAAATATGATCAATAATATCACGGCAGAAATCCTATTACACGTCGCTTCAGGGCTCTAATGATGTTATAAAACCTCTTAGCGTTAGAACGAGTATCCAATAAATGAAAGGTGTGTTCCTTTTTAATAAGTGACTACAGATCCTGGGATGCTTCAGATACAGTTAAAGGGATTGGAAGGAAAAGAGAGGTGGTCATTTCTCTCAGTTTGAGATTGTTGTTTTGTTTTTATTGAACGAGGGGTATTTCCCATTGTCAATCAGAGTCTCTTTAGGAATTCAGAGCAGAATTAAACAGCAGCCTCCCAGTTAAACTGCCAGAAGATACAACAAACATCAAAATGACCAACTATGAATTACATAAAACAATGCAATGTTGGCGAGTTGTCATCCTGGCTTGCAAACCACTATTGTTGGTGGCTTGGTGAAGGTGGCTCTCTGTATGTTAGAAAATAAATGAGAAAAGTCAGAGCAATGTTGACGGAAAATATAAAAACAAGTCATAGTATTGTGATTAGAAAATATGATGAAAAAAGTAATTGTATACAAAATGTGTATATTATGCTGAAAAAAGTGAAAATATACTATGTTCAAAATATCAAAAATTAGTAATTGTATGTTATGTTAAAATATCATTAAAAAAGTGGTAGTATATTGTAGGCTGAATAATTCAAGTTGTCTCAGTAGATCCCACCATGACGTTAAAAGCCCCTTCTCCCAACAGTTGGAGTGAAACGATTTGACCCTCTGAACACACTCTCTGTTTCAGAACGAGTAAATTCCTCCGGTCACTGCTGGAACAACAGAGATCACAGATTGGACTCAAACTCACACACTCTCATTACACCCTCCTGTGGTCTGCAGACACAGAAAGACACACACTTGACTCATCTGCTTCCTGGAAACTGCTCTCCACGCACACACACACACGCACACACACACACACGCACGCACGCACGCACACACACAAATAAGACTGGCCACCTCAGCATGTTGCTGGGAAGGCTGTGGGTTATTCTGCGTGTTCCCATCCTGAGTGTGTGTCACGTACAAAGATTTAGGGTATGCAACGTTGATTTTTCCACAGGGAGCCGGAGTCTGAGATACTTACCCTAAACAAAAAGACAGGCTAAGTTAGCAACTAAAGAGTCCAACATTTCTGTCAGGAGAGGGTGGAGACCAAAATCGAGCATCAAGGAGATATAAGAGTGATGTCAAGTGGCCAGAAACACGATCTCAAGCGAATGTGTTTGTTGCTTCATGTCCTCTAGTAGTTTAAATAGTCAGCCCTTTGTCCACACAGTAACCCGTCGTCACAATTATTTAGCTAGCAACAAAGTGAGGACCTAGCCGGGGAATAGGTGGACGTTAAGCAGCTAAAGAGCCAGAGATATTTTGACTTGGCTGAGACCGAAACAGAGCTACAAGGAGATGCCGAAGTGACATCAAAAGAAACGATCGCTCTAGCTTTCAAACGAATGCTAACGTTGCTTCCTGTCTGCTCGGAGTTCAAATAGTCAAATCTTTGTATTGACAGTAACCGGTCACAGTTATTAAGCATTGTTGCACTTAGCTACGGACATTTTGATTGACTGCTTACCTCCCTGAGACTGCTGTCAATTGCCTTGTTGACAGTTAAGTTGAATAAAATACTCTGATGGTAAAGCTACCTATTTTGACATCCTCATGTTTAAGAAAAGAGCCAATCTTATTGTATGAATAGACATACATTTTCTCTTGTGTATTTGTCAACATGCTCAGATAAAAAAACTTCTGAGTGAGATATTTATAGAATGGGAAGGAGTGTTTGAGTGAAGATCAGGTGCAACGAATCACTGTAGATGTCAGGTTTTGGTGTTGATCTTACGGAATCAAAGCAAAAGAGTTTCTTTCTAAATCCGTCAGAGCGGCGGAGACAAAAGACGAAGCTCCGACTGATAGATACAAAAAGATTAAGGTCAAAGGAATGACTGCCCCTCATCCTAAAATACTTCACAAATACGTCACGTGTAACAATGCTACTCTTCTCTCCATAGTAACAGATTTGAGTGGTAACAAGAAATCCAGTTTATTCATAATGTTGACATGTCTACCTTGCAAACTACTCTTATTTGGATGTACAGAAGCAGCTGGAAAATGATGTGTTTCCTTCCTCTCCTTTTCTGCAGAGCAAGCATCAGCAAAGATCCTTTCTACGACATGCTGGCCACCAGGAAGAGGAGGATAGCCAATAAGAAGTGATGACCGTCACACCGTCAAACACACCTGAGTCCTCGTATGTGTGTGTGTGTATGTGTGTGTGTGTGTGTTGTGTGTGTGTGTTATGAAGGCCTCATGTGTGTTCTTTCACGGCTGGAGGACAGCAGCAGGTGCTTGTCTTTGGGACTGAAATGGATAATTGGCGTGCACCTGTGTGCGAGGGACTCTGAACACTGATTAGGGGGACTGTATGGACAAAAAACTGGATTAAAACAAATGGACAAAAGGAACCGGACTACAGCCATGACTGGAATCATGGGAAATCTTTGCATAGTGTGCCCTCTGGTGGACGCATGAGGAGGAGTTCATACGTGGCTTTTCCTTATTTGGCGTTGACTCCCAGATACCAGGAAAACATCTTATCTTCACCTCACATGTTCTTCTGCTACAGAAAGCCTCAAGCTTATTAAATCAGCTGGTCTGATTGTTAGTGACTGTATCTGTACATGCAAACACAGATTTATTCTAAAAAGCTCATATTTCATTTACAGCAGGGCTGCAACTAATTATGTATTGATTAATCGGATTAATTGTTTGGTCTATAAAATGCCAGAAAATAGTGAAAAATGTCCATGACATAAGGCTGCTCGATTATGGCAAAAATCATAATCTCGATTCTTTGGTTCAATAATTGATATCGCGATTATTAAAAACGATTATCCATTTACTTTAAAAACATCAAAAACATCAATTTATTAGAGAAAAAAAAATTGGAACAGTATGTTTTTAACAGTTGATTACCCTTAAATGTAAGTATAATTCAACAGAAAAACCAATAAAAATAAAAAATTATCGTTTTATTTCGATTACGTTGTTTTCGTAATCGTTGCAAGCCATAATCGTAATTGCGATTAAAAAAACGATTAATTGAGCAGCCCTACCATGACAGTTACCAAAGTCCAAGGGGATGGCTTGGTTTGTTCCAAAACCTAAAGATGTTGCATTTATTATGTAAAACTGAGAAAATAATTGAAATCACGATATTTTATAGGCTAAAAAAAGCATTTTTGGACATTTCTTTATAAATAAATGACTTATTATTGATCTGTTATTATGGATTATACATAATTGTTGCAGCTCTTATATTTCCAGGCAAAGGAATTGATGCAGGTTATGAATACTCTCAATATATAAAGCCCCTTTTAAAGTGTTTTCAAACGTTAACACACATCCTATATTCTGTCATTTTATGTATTGAAGATCCACCTGTGTTCATTTCTTTTGTATTTATTTTCTTAATTTGGTTAACAAGAGGCAGCCCCCCGCCCCCCCGTCATTTACATTATGCATGTGTAGAATATATATTGTACATACTGTTCCTTTGTTTCTTCCTCTGTTGTGTTTATGTAGCATGTAAATCATATCGGCCTGTACCCGTTCACCTGTTTTAGTTTGAACCGCTGATAGTTTACAGAAGTGGAGGAGCAGCGGCTCCTCCGCCTCACGCTGAGTTACTAAAGATCAGAGAATACATGAAGTTATACGAAGAAAACTCACTGTGCTGAGTTGGAAAAGGGAGTAAAGTGAGTTTAAATCACCCTGAAAGAAGCTAAATATGGACATTTTAAAACTCTGATGTGAAACTGGAATCTGATTTTCCCAAACGGAGATCGAGACGATTTGCCGCCTCGTTTTTTTTTTAACAGTAGGCTACATGTAATTTTAAGGTTAATTGATCTTAGTTTGGGAAAAATGCTCATGAATAAAAAACATGCTGATCAGAAAACTGTTTTGTGTGCGCATGTGAATTCAATGAAAAGAGCTTAAAGGTAGGGTAGGTAAGAACGGAGAAACCAGCTCGAGTGCGCTAGAATTTGAAAATACGCAGCCGAAAGAAATCTGCCACTTCCTTCAGACTTCCTTACAGAGCCCCTCCTCCAACACACACGAACGCGCACATGACCAATGAGGGCACGAGATAAGTTTGTGCACAGATGGAAGGCTGACAGGTAGGTTATTTTATCATCCAGTTACTTTAGCCGGGCCGGCTCAGATGATTGGTCGTGCTTTTTACAGTACTACGGCTTCCACAGATGACATTTTTTTATGTATTTATTGTCAAAGCATTTCATATATTCATTGCTATCGGGATGTTAAGAGCATTCCATGGAATATAACAAAAAGTGTTTCTGAAGGGAATTACCTACCCCACCTTTAACTTACCAGGTCTTTGGTTATTTATGAAAGTATTTTAGGAATAATATAGTGAGTTTGAGCTGGAAATGTGTGTTTTTAACTTGGTGTGATTACAGGACAGTGCTATCATCCACACTTAATGTATTTACATATTATAATGAAGGAACTTTGGATACAATCCAATCCTAGTATATAATACAAAGGCAGACTTTTTACCCGGCAACTCGTCAATCAGTTTCCCATTCATTTCAATACAGCTTGTAAACGAGTCAAAAGACCAAGAAGAGATTACAATTTCTGACATTAACAAATGTATTTAAGGCTTTTACCTTATACAATGTATAAATTCTGACATGCTAAACGTAAAAGGTAGTAGCAATTTTCCAACTTCTGTCTAAAGTTGAAAAAACAAAACAAAAACATTCCCAACTTTTGTCCAGAGAAAATGGTCGATATTAACAGGAGTTTTTCTAAAAACAAATCAACATCTTCAGGTAACCCTGATACAGGATCTTTACATATAAAAATAACTGATAGTACAGTTCAAAATTAAATTCACAGTATTTTTGATGACGCTAGAAGACACAAAACTGTATTTTTCATTAAAAAGCAAACACAAATGGTCCACAGGCATGATTAACAAAGATTAGATGGTTTCCTTTTCAAAAGAATCCAAAAGCAACGTGACAGGAGAGAAGACGGAGGCGTGACATACCTCCGTGTGTGGAAAAGTTTAAAAATGACAGCGTGAATCTTAGGCTTCAGAGCAAAAACAAATGGAAAACAAGCTGGGATATGTCCTCAAGTCTGTCCAGGGTTTCATTCACAAGTTTCTCCCTCTTTTCCGCACCCAGTGGGATCAAAGAATAAACTCAAAAGCATTGTGGCTCCGGAGATACGGTGACGTCTAAAACCTGCAGCCGATGCCTTACAGTTCTCCTTTTCCCTTTAGTTTGTCTGAATGTGACGCAGGTGGATATCCACGAGTTTCCATGTCCTGAGTTCCACTGAGCAGCAGCTGAGATGTTCAAGCTCCAGGCTTTGTTTGTGTTCATACAAGTATATATTAATATTTTATCATAAATGTCCATTGAGTGTCTTTTTTAACCATAGTTAGGAGAATAACGGCATATAAATCGATGCCTTTGGAAAAACAAAACATTTTTAAAACACTTTTCTCGCGGCAAAAATACAATATATTCCCAACGAAGAAGCACCACGTCAAAAAAAGATGTCATTCCTTTGCTGTTGTTGAAATGGTGATGTGGCTGAAAGGAGAGAGAAGAGGCCTGTTATAACATCTGATAAACAAATGGTACAATCAATAACATCAAATGCAATACAAAACAAATCTAAAGAAAGAAACAAACCCCCCCCACCTAAACCTAACCCCCCACTTCTATGTTAGAACCCAGAGCTTACGTGAGAGGGAATGGGGAGGCTTCCAGCGAGTCGCAACCAATTGTTTTGCTGCTGTAAGCCCGGGTAATAGTGATCGCCTTTTGGTTAAACCACAGGTTGGACGGGTGGTTTAGGATAAGTGTAACAGGAGAATGAGGCACGTTAGGCTCAAATATCGCCGAACGGTTAGAGGCAACCATCTCCCAGAATCTGGCCGCTGGCGGACATTCCCAGAACATATGTAGATAAGTAGCAATAGCCTCTACGTCACAGAGTGCAATTTGGATCAGCAATTATTTTCATTAAACAAAGCTTCCTAGGCGTAAGGTAGACTATGAGTGAAATGATAATGTATGTGCTGGGGGTCAGGATTCCTACAAGCTATTAGTATATTGAACCAGACTTCATCCCAATATCGGCTCTAACGCAAGGGGTCTATAAGCGTGTTGTGAACAATTCTGATAAATGTTATATATTGTTTAAAAGCAGTGTCTGTACTGATGACGATGATGATGATGATTAAAGCCCACTCACAGTCAGTGTTTCCAGCCACTGGAGGATCCGTGGGAGTCGCCGTTCGTGTGGCTGTAACCATTTCCTGCAAAACAACATGGACACTTTAAATCTTCACCTCACACGTTCTGTTTCCCGTCACTACAGAGCGCCTCGAGCTTATACAGTGAGCTGCTCTGATTGCATTTACACATCCAGTCACTACCAAACACACGAATTCCAGAAAGTCATTTAAAGGCAATCAGATGGTGAATTGGTTAATTGTTGGTCTACAAAATGGCTGTAAATAGTGAAAAAAAAGCCATTCAAGTTTCTCAAAAGGTGAGTGCTTGTTTTTTTTTTGGTGCAAAACCCAAAGATATTCCAATCATTAGGATTTAAAACAGAGACAATCCTGGAACTAACCATATTTTAAGCACATTTTGTTTACTTTAAACAATTAATCATATTAATAACATTTCCGGTCAATGGACTGGAGGATTATGCAGGCTCTGATATGTCCTCATTGAAGGACAGGCTCCACAGCAGTGTTTCTCTCATCTTTAAAAAGGTACATTTCTGTACCCATAGAGTGGCAAAGTCCCTCCCCTTCCGGGGGAGCTCCATGGGACCTTATTTCGGAAAAAGCATGTATTGAAGTCAATGGAGAGAGAAAGATTATCTTTCGATCCTGTTTGAATTGTGCCACGAATTACACATATGATGTTTGTCAATTTAAAAGATAATTTTGCAAGTCTAAACAATTAAAATGTGTCGTAAAACTGTAGAGTAACACATTTTTTTGTGTGAAACACTCAATGAACTACATCTCTGGTCTCGCACACAACAACACACGTCACCAATATGGCCGTCACTACTGTCTTAAAGGGATTGACTACCCTCACTATCACAACCCAGTCCCATGGCATTTCGTGTTATAGTCACGACATTTAATCTATTGATTCGTGTTCACCAACACAATTTTCCCCTTTCTTTCATGTCACACAGAACGATTTTAAAAGCAATGTATTTCTATTGATAGTATGTTCCGTGCCTGCAGCACGTCTTTGTGTCGGTTCGGTTCTCGGAGGCCCGGAAGCTGTGGGGTTCATAAAAACATGTTTTTACTAGGGCCGGGACTTTAACGCGTTAATTAAGATTAATTAATTACACAAAAATTAACGCGTTAAAAAAATTAACGCATTTTAATCGCACTTATTTTTGCACCGCGGAACGTTTCTCACTGGATGAGTTTCAGGGGTACCGATTATACTGGAGCACCAACTAACGTTCATGACTTCAAACAACAACAAACCACAGTGAACAATAGTCAAACGTGAACGAAGAAGCTGATGAGACCGCTTTGGTTGGCCCCGTGGATGGGACATTTTGTTTTAAAAAACAGACGGATGGAAGCATCGATAAGAGCACGGTTGTTTGCATTTGCAAACAACCGTGCTCTTATCGATGCTTCCATCCGTCTGTTTTTTAAAACAAAATGTCCCATCCACGGGGCCAACCAAAGCGGTCTCATCAGCTTCTTCGNTATTTCAGTTGATTTGTAATGAATCCAGAATGTATGACATTTTTGTTTTTTAATTTGCATTACAGAAAATAAAGAACTTTATCACAATATTCTAATTTTCTGAGACAGTCCTGTATATAACGTTATGCGGTATAGGTAATTATATATATATATATATAATGCTCATTATAAGTTTCTCCTAAGTAACCAGCTTTGAGAGCTCTCTCTTTGTGGTTTTACTTTAAAGGGGACCTATCATGCAAAATGCACGTGTGTCGGGGAACTCACGCAGCGTCAGAAAATAAAACCCTCTCTTTTCCTCCGTACCCACATTTTTAAAAACGGGGCTACAACGGAGCTGATCCAGATTTGCGTCCGATATGACGTAATATCAGAAATGTGGACCCACAGCACTATCAGAAAGTTGCTATCAGAAACAATGCCCGACTGTTTTGTACGTAATATGGTCGGTGTTTACATTAGCATCGCTAACACTCAGAGCTAACCTGTACTGGAGAGCATGTGTGTGAAGAAGCAGGAAATAGAAAGGAACTCACCTTGTGGTATAACCGGCAAGAGAGAAAGCCTTTGAGCTCCATACTGTTTCAGAGATAATCCTTGATAATCCATGATATGGCGTTTCATCACGGCAGTATTTAGTTTAGACAGTAGCTGCCGGGTCCCGCATGAGCTCAGCCCCCTCCCTTTTTTATTTTTTATCAATTTTTATTTTAAAGCTTTATACCCCAAATCAGCACTTTTGAAACAGGAAGTGAAATCGAGGGATATGAGGCATGGCTAGAATGGGTGATCTGTTTGGTATTTTGAGCAAAACACTTCATAGACATGTTTTATATATATCTGAGACCTATGCTATTGCATAGAAATAGCATGATAGGTGCACTTTAAAAAGTTACCAGTTTCTCAGTTTGTTAACGCATGCTAACAAAACAGTCAGTGTTTAGTTTGGACTATGGCGCTGTTGGATATTATTAGATGCAGCGAATGAATAGTATTTTTTGGACCGATTCAAGTGAATTTGGACAATTTCCCACGACACACCTGACGATGTCTTACGGCACAGTGGTTGAAAACGACTGATCTAAACAATGTTGATCAAACATATTCGAATGTGAGAAGATATAAAGCCAGTGTTTAACAACAAATCTATCTTGTTTGTCCTCAGCGCGCTCTTCACGTCAACGGGAACGGATCTGTGAGGGACTTTCACACCAACTCCAAGCCCAGCACCAGCAGCAGTGTTGGGGGGAAATCTATCCCCCATGGATTGGCTTCCTCCTCCTCTTCCTCCTCCTCCTCCTCCTCCTGTTCTTCCATCTCCCACTCTATCAGCCGGCCCACCATGATCCCAGACCAGGACAAGCGACAGAAGCTTTCTTTCTTCATCGGACAAGGCAAACCCAACCGCCCGTCCTCCTCCTCCTCCTCCTCTTCCTCCTCTTACAGCCAGCCTTCCTCGGCCAGCTGCTCCTCCTCCTCTTCCTCCTCCAGCTCTCTCTCCTCCTCGCAGTCTACCTCAGACGTTCGCTTTGTTCCGCGTCAGCTAAACCACGTTAACGGCACGTCCCGCAGTAACGGCGGTCACCACGCGGGAGGAAACGGAGCGTCGTTCTTGGTGCCGTACGGCCAGGAGTCCTCGGAGGAATCGGACCAGGAGAACTCTGGCTCTCTGGATAACGGCGGATTAGCAAAGTCTCTCCTCAACGGAAACAAGAGAGCGGGAGAGACTTCCTCTCAAGCCACAAACGGAGACTCGGGAGCGCATCACAACGGGTTAAACGGACCCACCAATGGCCTCTCTAAATCCACTCAAAATGGCCACCATAACGGACACCACAAAGTGAATGGACACAACACCCCTAATAAGGTAAGTCTCCTGTCGTGTAATGAAACCTAATGAGCTTTTTGTTTATATCGATAAATACTGAATGAATGATGTCTTGTTTTTCAGCTCTCTGGCAGTAATCATGACACTTCATCCTCTGTGGCTACGGCTGTTTCTAATGGACACAGTGATCACAGTCAAACAAGGTGAGATTAGCACGCTAATGAGGGAAAGTAGCTCAAAGCTAAATCCGGCATATTTACGCTTGAAATATTTATTGTTTTAAGTGTTCATTAATGTGCAATGTCCCTGCCAAATAAACGAGGAAAAAACTAATAAATGCTGCGTTTAAACCAAATGCAAAACATATTGAGTTTGCATGGCTTGAATACAAAATCGATGCATTGTACCTGAATTTAACCGCTATATCACTTCAGGGTGTCCGCAGGGTCTTAAAAAGTATTAAAAGTTGATAAATCAATTTAGCGAAAATTAAGGCTATTAAACGGCATTTTCCAAGGTATCAATTCAATAAGTATATAAATTGTCCAGAGAGGTTGTATTCTACAGTCTGCCTGAATGTAATCATTGCGTAGGTGTGTAGTGTGATTCTGTGTAGTTTATTTATGGCATCCCGTTGGATTTGACGTCATCTGAACAGGACATCGCACGCTCACTGCTTGATAGCGCGTGAAGGTCCGTTTACGCCGGTTGCTAAGCAACATCGTTATGGGGAAATGGAAGTCTGCGTCCAAATGGTTGGAAGATAAGGAGGAAGGACAATCAATACTGTATATAGTCAATGTGAGGTAAAGTGTGTCGCCAAGGTAACCGGTTAAAACTCCAAGTGGCGATGAGGTCTTAAAATGTATGGAAAGGGTCTTAACAAAGGTTTGTTACATTTGACTTCAGGATTCCTGCTTATACCCTGTTCAAAATGGGAAATGTAATTTGCTTTCAACCATATATTAAGAAGTAAAAAAAATCTGATTTGATAAGTGAGAATAAAGATGTGGTTTCAAAATCTACTTGGCTGCATCAATATTTAATTAAATGTTTACATTTCTCACAGACATTTCACCCAAAAGTCTTACAATTAAAATGCTTCTTTATTTTGTTTTTCCAGCCAAGAGGCCCATATTGCTGCTTCCTCCCTGGCCAGTTCCTCTCAGAGCCCCCATCCCGCTGCCAGTGAAACCCAGAGCGCCCCCCCTCCTGACGTAAGGGCTACAACTGTGTCTGAACCCCTGCCTCCGCAAGCACCATCCTCCTCTCCACCTTCAGCTACTCCAACAAACACTCACCCCGTCACGTCCAGAGAACCTGCTTCTTCCTCCTCTCCTGCCCCGCCGCACAGCATCCCTGCAGCCTTACCCCCCCCGACAGACGACTCCCAAAACACCAACGGGACGTCTGCAGCTCCACAGAGGATTAGCCGAGGTGAAGAGGAGGCAAAGGCTCTACCGAGGACTCGTGATCCGTCAGCAGGGACTGAAGGACGCGCCGACGCTAAGGAGCAACCCCAGTCCAAGCCCAGTTCTAGAGGAGGGGAAAGACAAACGTCCCGGGACAGAGAGAGAGACTGGAGCAGAGACAAGGACAGACACTACAGGGACAGGAGCCCGGTGCGAGAGAGAGACGGAGACAGACATCGCTACAGACGAGATTCTCGGGATCGTTCTCGGGATCGTTCTCGGGATCGTTCTCGGGATCGCCACCAACACCGCTCGTACAAGGACCGCTTGGTTCCGTACAACCGGTCCTACAGGGACTGGGACCCTGATCGTCGCAGGGACCGGCCTTTCCTCACACCCAGGGAGCGGGAGCGGAACAATTACAACTCCAGAGATGATTGGGGTCACGAGCGGAGGGGATACGGTCACTCGTACCGAGAGGATAGGAGCCGGCGGCCGGAGAGCAGAGAGTCCCGTCGGCCGATGAAGGAGAGGAGCACCGGCAGGGAGAGGGGTTATTATTCGTGGAGAGGGGAGACTTCCTCGCCAAACACAGAGACCTCAGAAAAGTCAAAGGGTTCCCCCCCTCGGGAGCGTCCAAACACAAATGAGTCGCCTCCGAACAAGGAGGATCACAAGAGGAACGCCGATCCTCCGAGCAAGGAGAGGGAGGACAGCTCTGAGACTCGGTGCTCGAAAAAACACAAAAAGAACAAGAAGTCAAAAGATAAAGAGAGACACCGAGAGAGCGGGTGAGTTATGCCTCTGTTTAAATTACATTGTTTACCCAACAAACGTAATGGAGAGGCTGTCACTTTACTAAATATACTAAAATATATGTTCAGTATTTGGTCTAAAGGCTTTCTGCTTTGAGTAGATAACAGTGCAGGGTGTCCGCGGGGTCTTAAAAAGTATTAAAAGTTGATAAATAAATTTAGCGAAAATGAAGGCTATTAAAAAGTATTAAACGGCATTTTCCAAGGTATTGCATTTTGTAGCTTGTTTTCAATAAG